TGCACGACAGTCACTTCCCAAGCAATGAGGTGTACAGTTTAGGTATGGCCAGTCATAGCTTAGGCGTGCTCAACCTTACTGTACCTAGTGGCCCACCTTCCTTCATATTCTAAATGAACAAAGAAGAAACGTCTTCAAGCCAATTTATGCCCTAAATGGACGCACGTTTACGTTACAGCTCAGCAGGCGCAACATGAGGCGAACACTGTGGACGTAGATCTTGGTGATCCGAACGACAAGGACTGTGATGGCATCCCTGATGACGAAGATGACGACATGGACAATGATGGCAAAATTGACCGGACGCAAGATTCGGACTGGGATGGTCTACTGAATCACATTGATGACGACGACGACAACGATGGTTCGGAGTTCTTACTTTTTGTTTGTTTGACTACTTTACTACTGACATGAAATTAAGTAGCGCAATGCATGAGAAAAATAAAAGTTAAACATTAATATTTGACTTAGAACACCCCCTGAGTACTCTCAAATCAGACAATTTTATCGTCTGCTATCAAAGTCCCCAACGCTAATACTGACGTTAGTGTTTTTTTCTCGGCGTATAACTGCTCAGCTCAAAATCACCGAGCAAGTTATTTTTGCTTTACAGGTGAGGCATACTTCCGGTTTTTCGATCAGGCAGGGTTTATATATTAAGGGCTAGCAGCAACAAGTACAGCATACTTCAAATTCGTTACCTTATTTCTTTTTGAACTCACTTGGCAATCAATATGTGCACCGCAAACTTACATTTTGACTATAGAGCACCAACAATATTATACACTTGGGATCAGGCGAAGGTCCACCACATAAAAATTGAATCATTAATCTCCTGAGTATCTGTAGTTTTCTGAATTGCGAAATCTTATACTGGACGATATTGGTAAATGTTTTGGCCTCACAATGGGTATGCCTCGTCTTGCGCTTAACTGAAACTTTATTAGCTTACATACTCACAAATAACCACCTTATTTCACTTGAAATTCACTTGGCATTCACCACCTCCATCGCAAACTTAAGTTTTGACACCTGTGATCACGTGAAGGTCCGGCACATAGAACTTCAGTATCAGTATCAGTATCAGTATATTGAGGGATGCGTAGGAAAAATTCC